CTTCCTCCTCCCCCTCCTCCTCCTCTTCCTCCTCTTTCTCCTCCTCCTCGTCCTCTTCCTCCTCCTCCTCCTCCTTCTCCTCCTCCCTTCCCCCCCACCCCCCTCGCTCTGCCCTCATCATTTTGCTTGTTCCCCACCAAAATGTACCCCGAAGGGTTTCCACCACAGCTGGTGGAATGCGTGGTCCAACAACTTGTTCGAGATCGGACCCAACGTTTATATCGAGCGTTTCGCCTGGGGCATCCTGACACAAGCGAAGCACCGGAGATAGATGAGACAAGATGGTTTCCAATGCGGCTAAGATTGCCAAAGGTGGCTCTCCATGGCGGCCAAGAGGTTCCAATGAGCCACCTCTTCCGCCGCGTTCACCATTTCATCCTCCTCCCATTTCCACCCCCCCCATTCATGCGCCCCCATATGTTCCCCGAAACGTTTCCCCGGCACCTCAGGGAACGCGCGCGCGAATACCGCGGTTGCACTTTGCCCCAACGCATGTCCGCATAGGCGTTGGGCGACGCACAAATCGCCATAGCGACGAAATAAGCGGCTCCACGACGGCGACGACGCCAGCGACGACGCCGGCGCCAATGAAGGAAAGGGTTCTCCGCGCAACATGTGTTTGAGACTTTCACCGAAATAAATCGCGCGCGCCAGCGTATGACATGGCACGGCAGCTCCGGACATGTGCCGCGCTGAGGACGCTGTCCGACGGCGCGCGGGGCGCTGTGCCGCGGCGGCGATGGGCATGGCCCTGCGCGGGACACCCTGGCGCCCTTTGACGCGTCGGGTCCCATGTCGCGCGCGCGGGCTCCATGGCATGTCCAAGTGGAAGCTGGCGCGGCAGCTCTGGGCATGGCCCTGCGCTGAGGACGCCTTCGCCCCGCAGCGAGAGGGGCGCCGCGCCGCCGGGCAAGGCCCTGCGCGGGACGTCCTGGCGCCCCGCGACGCGTCGAACGCCGTGGCGCGCGGGCGGGTTTATCGCTTCCGCGGACGCTCGGCTTTCCTCCTGCACTGATTGCACGACTTGTGGTATGTGCGGTTGCCGTGCTGACTGAAAGCAGAAGTCTCGAACCATTTGTCGCGGCCCTTGTGCCCCCGCAAATGCTTCTGACCTGGGTTCGCCAGGCATTTCTTGCATTCGGCGCCGCGCTTGCCGCGCGGGTACTTGTCCAAAGCGTTCTGCGGTAGATCGGCCCTGCATCTCTTGCAAAGCCTCTTGCTCGAGCAGATCTCGCAAAACTTCCCGGGCTTCTTCTCCTCCGAATCGTGCGGGGGGATGCCTATCCCGAGAGCGCTGTCAGCGCGCAGCCTGACGCGACTCTCCGCTTCGGCGGGCGACCAAGATCAGCCCCCGCATGTGGGGCACGACGGAATGAAGCGCTCCAAGCATACTGGGGCAAATCGATACCTCCGCTGACTAAATCCACGGGTAACTTTCGCGCGCAGCACATCCCGCGAACTGCCGACAGTGTAAACAGCGGACCCGTGGCGTGGCCTCCTTGGAGGCGGCGCAACCTCGCCATTTCCCGAGGATTGGCCGCGCGCCCTTCCTCCCACTCGAACGCCTTCATCGGGGCTTCGAACATTTTTATGTCACGAACAACCATTTTTCGGGCGTGACCCGAATGATATATGTTATTGTGGCGGCACCGTGCTGGCCTCTTGTAATCCTGCCACGCGGCTGCCGACGGTGAAAGATCTGCGGCCGGCTTCCCGAGCTCAGGCAAGCGATGGACATGCGCCGCCAAGGCTGCCGACATGGCGCCCCCATCCCAGGGCGCGAGCTCTGCCTGTAGCGCGCGAAGGAATTTTGAATGGAACGTATGGTCTGGACTCGCCTTGCGCACGCAATGCGCAATTATTACTGCGTGCCTCATTTTCCATAAGCAATCATGTATAGGACATATGATGTCGGCCGCCTCCACCTCCCTCCCATCAGCCGCTTCGTCAACAATGCAATCGCGCGCCAGGCCTGCCCCCACCAGTCCCCCACGCATGTGTCCAAGCATTCCTCGCGATGTAACATGCCCTCGCAATGCTGCATGACCTCGCCATGTAGCCGCCTGGCCTCGTCCTTGTCGTCGAGGCAATAGCAGCAACGTGTACTCGGATCTAGAAAGATCTGCGTTTCCTTTCTGCGCTTCAGCTCTTCCACGAGCGCCGCCGCGGCGGCGCCCGCGCCAATGCCGGTGGCGCAGCGCGACATGTGATATTATCTGGGCACGGAGCACGGGATCTCGGAATCGAGCTACGTCGGGCTGTCCCGTCCGCAATGAAAGCAATGGTGAAAACTTGAGCCCAGCTGCATATACAGAAAAGCGAGATAAAGAACAGTGCGCAAACCATATACGTATATGAGAAAGGTGGAAGAAGAGATCTTACTCTTCATCCTCTTGTTATTATTCCTCTTCGACCTTTCCCATCCCTCTCCTCATTCTCGCCTTCCTCCTCCATGTATTCCCCGAAAACTGCCAAACTGATTCGGGAAACACCTTGCCCGGGGCCTAAAATGGCCTCCACGAAGGCCACGAAGCACCCCGAGAGGGCCCCAAGTCGGTTCAGAGAGGCCCCCAAGAAGCCCCCAAAGGCCTCCAGCAGGCCCAAGAAGGCCGCAAAGAGGCCTCGAAGAGGCCCCCAAGAAGCTCGCAGCAGGCCCCAAGTGTGCCCCAAAAAACCCCTAAGAAGCCTCCTCCTCCTACTCTTCCTCTTCCTCCTCCTCTTCATGTCCATTCTCCCCCGCGTGTTCCCCGAAAACTTTCCAAACCGACTCGGGGAATTCATGGTCCGACAGCTGGGCCACATAGGCGCTTCCCCAAAAGGCAGGGGGCGGCGGTGATTCGCCGTAAGCGTCTTCGATAACGCCAACGTTTCACTGCGCGCTGATGACTCCTATCCGCCCCCGCATGATGTTCCCAGATGCGCCGAGGCAGTGCCGAGACGCACCGACGCGACTCTCATATATCCCATCATGATAGGGATGGCGTCGGCGGCAGGGAGCCAAGCCCTTGCTGATAATGCAGATAAAGTAACCGAGCAAGAGAAATCATTATACGGATGGTTAGGATTTGAAGAAGGACGGACGGATGATGCTGACGATGACGATTATGGCGAGTATGCTGATGCAGATTATTGTGGTGTGTGCGCGTGGGGATTCATGACGATGCTGACGATGACGATGATACTGTAAAACGATGACGGCGACCGTAATCGGAAAAAGGGTGGAGGGCAGGAGGAGTAGGAACAGACGGATGTGCAGGCGATGGGAGAGGAGGCGAAGGAGTGGGGATGGGGGGGAAGGATGAGGATAACGGAGAAAGGAGAGGAGGACGAGGAAGAGGGAAATTACGATACAGGACAGGACCGGAGCGCTGCGAGGGCGGGTCGGATATCCCAGTCGACCACAGCGCACCCCCCCCCCGCGAGAAGCTGCAGAGGCACGAGCCGCGCATGGCTGCGGGCTGCCTGGGTGGCCCCCGTCGGAAGGGGGGGGGGGGGGGCGCTTCAGGCCTGGAGTTTACAGTCCTCACCTGGCGGACCCCAGACCCCCTCGAGCCGTGGCAAAACCACGACGGAAGGCTCGTCTTTTTGTTGTTTTCGCTATTTTCAACCTCTGGGGGCCCTCGCCGAAGCCCAGGTCCGCCGGCTAGACGCAAGAGCGGCCCTGGGCAAGAGTGGCCTTTGGTGTGCGGCTTCCCAGGGGTGCGCGGGGTAGCCAGACGTGGGCGCGCGAGCCACTGCCACCGCTTCGCGCTTCGCGATCGGGGCACCCCACTGGGTCCGCGCCGGAGGTCACTCCGGCGAGAGGTAGCTCTTACGTCTAGTCGAGTCCGTCAGAAAACTCTGGAGGTCGGAAAGGGGTGTGGCGTAAAGGGGCGTGGTGCAAATCGTGAAACCTGGCGATGCTGATTTTTTGTTTGAGGGCGACGAGGAACCTAGGGAGAAGAGGAGGAAGACGAGGCCGAGGGGGAAGCAACGACCACCCAAAAAGCGCAGAAACGACAACGAGAAAGGAGGCGACAGAACGACGAGACAAGAGAGGCGAAACGACAAGACACGAAACGCGGCAGCGCAGCCTCACCTCAGAGCCCGAACAAAAATGGAATGAAGAGGAGCGCGGACAGCGCACCATTGAAGCGCAGGGCGATGACACCGCGCGTTTTGAAATAGCCGAGGACGTCCACCACAACCTTGCCGGCACGGTGGACCTCGTTGTGGTAAGTCAGTGAACGCCGATGGCGAGGTCAAGGTTGTCCTATTGCATGGGGAAGAAGGCGCCGTGCTGGGGACCGGCGGACCGCAAGGAAACCAGCGCCCCGAGCGCACCGGGGCATGCCGGGGCAGACGGACCGCAAGGAGGCCTGCGCCAAAAGCCCGGGCCCAGCCAAGAGGCGCAGACGGACCGCAAAGAGGCCTGCGACCATGACTGGACGTGCATCTGGCCCACCCGGGCAAATTGTGCACTCAATTCAAACGCGGCTCAGGCTCCGCGACCGCCGCGCAGGCCTGCACAACGTCACGTCATTGCTATTTGCTCTGGGTGCCTCCACAGCTTCGTCCCTCGAGAATTGCATCTGGGTCATGATGAGATCAACGTCTGCCTCCTCGGGCGCCGTCGGAATGCGGAGGTTCTCGGGCTTAAGAAGCAAAGCCCTGCCGTTCCCAACGCGCACCTGCCAACGGCCCTTACCCTCATAATAAGCAACCAAGGTACCCTTCAGCCCGTTGAGCTCCGGCCTCGCCGGCAGCCGAACCAAGCTGACCAACGAGCCCCTGTGCAGAAGATTCCCCGACGCTGCCGCCGGAGATGTCTGCGTGGCCTCCCCAGGTGGCGCTGACGAGTCGGTTGCAGCGAGACGTCCTTGGAATAGAGGCTGCGGGCCCACAATCAATGCGACTCAGGCTTTCGAACAGAGAGATCTTGACTGCTAACTGCTGTGGCTGTAGCGTTCGGACAGGATCGGGCCGTCTACCAGCGGCTTCCGTGCAAGGATCATGCGCTGCTAGTTCGGAGGGCCGCCCTCCTTGTCCCGGAGCGTGGCTTTCAGGTTGTCGAAGGTGTCGCGGGCCTCCCTGTCCCTCGTGATGATCTCGCCCTCCAGCGTCGCCTCGAAAATCTGCACGCCTCCGGGCAGGCACATCACTAGGTGCAGTACCGACTTCTTCCAGGTGCTGGTAATTAGTCTGACAGAGACCGGCTGCCCCCCAGTAGCTTCCTGGCGAAGATCGACATCTGCAAGTCTGGAAGGGTGTCCTCCTTCTCCAAGATCGTGGCGATCATGTTGTTGTCGATGGTGTCGCTGGCCTCCCTGTCCCACGGAGGCCCCCGTGCCTCCGAGCGGGCGCGGCACCGGGTGCAGCGTCGACTCCTTGCGCCTCCACCCGTGCCTCGCCACCGTCGATCTCCTGCACCTCCTCTACCTTCACCTCTGCCGCCACCTCCATCTCAACCTCCACCGCGTCCACGAACTCGTCGACCATCTCGTCCCTCCATCCCCCTTCCTCCTCGGCCTGTGATGGGCGGAGGCCCACCCGACCTCCAGTGGCTTCCGGTCGACGATCAGGCGCTGCTGGTCCAGAGGGGTGCTCTCCTTGTCCTGGAACGTGGTGTTCATGTTGCTGAGAGAACCGCTGGCGTCCACGCCCCAGGTGATGATCCCGCCGTCTGGCGTCGTCCTGATCGCCCTCCCGCGTCCGTCTGGGCGAAGCACCGACGCTGTCAATCCGGGGGGATGCGCTCCATGTCCTGGATCTCGGTTTTCATGTTGTCGTTGGTGTGGCTGGCCTCCACGTCCCACGTGATGGTCGGTCGGTCGGTCGAGGCATATGACCATGTGAACAGCTCCGGGAGTGCTCGCTGCTCCCAACCAAAGATGATGCCACTGCCACGCAAAAGCCTGCGTCCAATTTCAGGTCGTGCCTCCGCGTCCCACGTGATGGTTTTGCTCTCCAGCGTCGTCACGAAGATCCGCATGCGTCCGGGCGGGCGCAGCACGGCCCGGATGCGCGCGCAGCAACGTTGCCGCACGGGCCGCCGTGCCAGCCGCCCGGGAGAGGGCGGCGGCGGCCGGCCAGGGCTCCACATTGACGATAGACAACGACGCCAGGTTCAGCAGTGGCACCACACCCCTTGGCGCCACACGCCTTTCCTACCTTCAGGAAAACGACGGTGTGAGACGCGGGTCCTGGGAAACAGGCCGAGACCTCGGAGGGTCGATGTGGCGCGCAAGAGGTCATGACGTCCAGTGCCTGGGGCCCCCGATTTCAAAAGGGCGCGCTTCGAAGGAGCGGTGGCAGTAGGATGGCGCCAGGGATATTGCCGGGTTGTTGGCGTCGATCCGCCCAGCCGGTCAGCGGCGAACCCGCGGGGCAAAGTGAGGCAGGGCGAGCCTTCTCAGAAGGCTCGGAAGTCCTCGGGCCCTCTGGGACGTTTCCTAGCCTTCCGCGAAGACGCGGGGCACTCCTCACAAGGCGCGAAGGATTCTGAGAAGCCCCGCCGCCTCCTGAGAAGGCCCTCTCGAGAGGAATAGGAGGAGGAGGAGGAGGAGGAGGAGGAGGAGGAGGAGGAGGAGGAGGAGGAGGAGGAGGAGGAGGAGGAGGGGAGAGGAGGGAGGGAGGGGGGGGGAGGAGGAGGAGGAGGAGGAAGAGGAGGAGGAGGAGGAGGAGGAGGAGGAGGAGGAGGAGGGGGGGGAGGAGGAGGAGGAATAAGAAGAGGAGGAGTGCAGCGCCTCACGCGTGTCTCCCGGGCGGCCGCGGGCGCGACCGACGAGCGACACCGTGGCGCCCACGCGCCGCGATGGCGGAGAGGGCGAGGTTGAAGAAAGTGTGGAAGAAGACCCACTCGCAGAAGAAGAGGGCCAGGGGAGCGTCGACGTAGGCCAACATGCCGCCGACGAAGCAGACGTCGCTGCCGAAGAAGACGCCGTGCCACCAGCCGACCACGGAACGGCAGCGAATCACGACATGGTCGATCATCGCGCCGCGTGGCTGCGAGAAGGGCCACACTGCGGGAGCTGCGCCGCTGGGGTACGTCGGGCACGAGGCGCCAGTCCCTTTTCGACGCGCCTGATCGCACCTTGCTGGTTGCGGCGCGTGGACTCGTTGGGCGAGAGCCCTTCGCACCTCAAGCCAAGCTTCCGCATTGTGCGGACATCGCCCGCAGCACAGTGGGACCCGCAGCGTCTGCAGCAGTAAACCTCGTTGCACCTGAACACGTCGTGCCCAAGCTCGGCGAAGGGCAGGTGGCACCAAGGCCGCGGGCGTCGAGGGCTGCGAGCTCTCTTCGAGCGCCAAGGCCGCGTCCAGGGCCATGCCAGCCTTTTGGTCGCTGCAGGAGGAGGAGGAGGAGGAGGAGGAGGAGGAGGAGGAGGAGGAGGAGGAGGAGGAGAAGGGGATAGGTGGAAGAAGGAAGGAAGAGGAGGAGGGGAGGAGGAAGGAGGAGCGGAGGAGGAGGGTGCAAGGAGGTTTTTGAGGAGGAGGGAGGAGGAGAGGAGGAGGAGGAGGAGGAGGAGAGGAGAGAGGAGGAGGCACGAGGAGGAGGTAGGAGGAGGAGGAGCAAGAGGAGGAGGCGGAGGACGATGATGATGATGAGGATGTGATGATTGATGATGATGGGAGGAGGAGGAGGAGAGGAGGAGGAGGAAGGAGGAGGAGGAGAGGAGGAGAAGTAGGAGGAGGAGAGGAGGCAGAGGAGGAGGAGGAGGAGCAGAGAGGAAGGAGGAGGGGAGGAGGAGGAGGGAGGAGGAGGAGGTGGAGGAGGAGGATGCGGGGAGGAGGAGGAGGAGGAGGAGCGGTAGGAGGAGGAGGAGGAGGAGGAGGGGGGGTGGAGAGAGAAGGAGGAGGAGGAGGAGGAGGAGGAACAGCCTCCCCCCCCCGCGCTCGCCGCCGAGTAGAAGTCAAAGAGGCCAAGTCGAACGACCGGCTCGCACTGGAGCGCGGCGGGGGGGCCTCTGGCGGCGCGCACTGGCGCGCGGCTGGAGCACACGCCTCGCGGCAGCGCGCGGGCGAGGCGGGGCTGGCCGTCGGCCAGGCGGGTCGCGGGCGGGCGACGACGGCGGCGCAGGCGGGCCCCACACCCTCCCTGCCATGATAGGAAGGCCACAAATGGCGCAACGTCATCTCGGAACTGGCGCGCGCCCCCCCCCCCGGCGAACGGACAGCGCTCGCGCACGGCTGCGCTTCAAGGCAAGCGTGCTCCTCCTCCTCCTCCTCCTCCTGCTCCTCCTCCGGCTCTGCTTATCCTCCTCCCCTCCTCCTTCCTGCTCCTGCTCCTCCTTTTCCTTCCTCCCCCTCCTCCTCCTCCTCCTCCACTACCTCCCTTTTCCCTCCTCGTGGCGTTCGCTTAGAAACGGTTTCTCAAAACTCGGGCCTCCCCCCTCCATGTGTGCATCCTCCTCTGCTCCTGCTCCTGCTCCTCTTCCTCCTCCTCCTGCTCCTGCTCCGGCTCCTCCTGCCCTCTCCCTCCTCCTCCTCCTCCTCCTCTCCTCCTCCCTCCTACTCCTTCTCCTCCTCCTCCTCCTCTCCTCCTCCTCATCCTCCCCTTCCCCTTTCCCCTCCTCCTCTCTCCTCTCCTCCTCCTCCCTGCTCTCCTCCTCCTCCGCTCCTCCTTGCTCCTGCTCCTCCTCCCCTGCCCCTCTCCTCCTCCTCCCTCCTCCTCCTCCTCCTCCCTCCCGCCGCCTCTCCTCCCTCCTCCTTCCCTCCTCCTCCTCCTTCCTCCTCCTCCTCCTCCTTCCTCCTCCTCCTCTCCCCCTCACCCTCCTCCTCCTCATCCTCCTCCTTCTCCTCCTTTCCTTCTCCTTATAGATATCTTTTCCCTGTCGCACCCCGAAGCCACATGTTAGGGGGGTCCGGGCGCTTCGCCTGAGACTTCCTTACTGCTTATGACTCTGAAACTTCAAATTTGACAGCAATTTCACGGATGAAAGGCGGGTGGTTTTTCAAAATGTGGCTCGCGCCGTAGCGCCGCGCACATTCGTTTTAAGCATTTGCGTTCAGAGTTTCACGGATTGCGGCTCTCGCCTAAGCGCAGAGCAGGTTCGTCCAGCAAAATCGCAAGAGCTTCACGGATTGAGGGCGGGTGGTTTTCAAAATGTGGCTCTCGCCTTCGCGTCGCGCACATTCGTTTAAACAGTTGTAAGAGTTTCACGAATTGCGGGCGGATCGTTTTCAAAGTGTGGCTCTCGCCTTAGCACCGCGCACATTCGCCCATAACATCTGGAAGAGTTTCGCAGATTCCCATGATCAGCGTACCAGAAATGTTGGTTTGTAAAGGTTCAGGAACGGTTCCAGGTCGTCAAGACGCAGCAATCAGGTTGATCCGTTGATCCGTTGCGTTGAAATCCCGAAGACAATGTTTTGGCATGCTTCAGGGTCTTCAAGGGTGTTTTCCAACGAGGCACTTCCCTCAATGGAAATGAACCGTTGTAGGGGCCTATGAAAAAAGGAGCTTGGCGGGAGGGTTCATTCCAACATTGTTGATGACTCTTTGGTTTACACTGGTCCGCCTCCTCCTCCTCCTCCTCTTCCTCCTCCTCCTCCTCCATTCTCCCTCCTCCTCTTCTCCCCCCGCTGCGTCGAAGAGGAAGATGTAGGAGTAGGAGTAGGAGAAGGATGAGGAGGCACCTTTTTCTCCCTCCCCTGGCGTGCTACGTACAGTCGGAAGTGAGGAGGTGAAAACGCAGTGACATGGAGAGCCCCCCACCGGGAAATAGGTTACGGTTTCATGTTCGTGTCGTGCGTGCGGGCCAGGCGAAGCTGCGTGAGCTGGCGAGAAATGAACCTTCCTTTAGCTAGGGCGTCGCCGGACCAAAATACCACCCCCCCGGGTTGTCCAGCGGTGGCTGGGGGTGTCCCGCGAGTGTCCCATCGGTGCCCCGTCGGTGTCCCGTAGTGAAGTCGATTGTGAGATCGATGCAACGACCGATAGTGAGATCGATAGTGAGATCGATAGTGAGGTCGATAGTGAGGTCGATGGTGAAACCGATAGTGAGATCGATAGCGAGATCGACTGTGAGATCGGTAGTGAGACCGATCGTGAAATCGATCGATCGTGAGATCGATAATAAGATTGATAGTGAGATCGGTCGTGGTATCGATTCTGAGATCGATCGTGCGACCGTTCGAGTGACATACATAGTGATATCGATAGTGGGATCGATCGGGAGATCGATAGTGAGATCGATCGGGTGAGTTCGATCGTGCGACAGGTCGTGAGAGCGCTAATGAGACCGACAGTGATATCGATAGTAAGATCGATTGGGGGATCGTTTGCAAGATCGATACAGAGAGTGATAGTGAGATCGGTCGTGAGATCGATCGTGGGATCGATAGCGGGATCGTTCGTGATAACGAGATTGAAATCGATTGTGAAATATTGGGGTCGATGATTGGAAGAAGTGACGCTCATTAGATTGAGAATGAAACCGAATGCGAGATTGATTGTGATATTGATAGTGGGATCAATCTTGATATCGATAATGGGATCGATAGTGAAATCGAGAATGAGACCGATCTGATAATGAGATCGATTGTGGGGTAGATCATGAGATCGATAATGAGATCGATTGTGCGATGGAAAGTGGGATCGACGCTACGGTCAATAATGAGTTCGATAGTGAGGTCGGTAGTGAGATCGATCGTGAGATCGAGAATGAAAACGATAGTGATATCGATTGTGAGATCGATGGTGAGATCGATTGTGAAATCGAACGTGCGATCGATAGTGAGATCGGTGGTCAGATCGACCGTGCGATCGGTAGTGAGATCGAAAGCGGGAATGATGGTGAGATGTATTCGGAGATCGATAGTGGGATCGACAATGAGACCGATCTGATATCGATAGTGAGATCGATTGTGAGATCGATCGTGAGATCGATAAAGGTATCAATTATGCGATCGAAAGTGGGATCGACCGTGAGATCGACGCTGAGGTCAATAGTAAGATCGATAGTGAGATCGATCGTGATATCGAGTAAG